TATTCCCGGTTCAAGTGTGACAAAAGTAAAAAAGTCTCATAACATAACGATCAACGCTTGATTTTTAAAAAATCTTTAAAAATGTTTGGGTCAAAATGACCTGAGGGACGGATGAGGGTTTTAATCAAGACAGAATTTTTGTTCCTTTAAATCTTTGACAAAGATCATGTACAGTAAGTTCAAATTCAAATGCAATACAATGCAAATTCAACATAAAGACATTTACAGGACTCACCAACAGTATTGCTGACGTTCTCACCCTTCCCATTGTGCTCCATTGTGACCTGCTGCACAGCCCCAGATTGGGGCATCAGCCCTGTACTCTGACCTTTGACCTCTCTGCCATCACTGCCGAGAGGTATCTCGGTCTCCAAGGTGTGGGATTGGGAATTGGACGGAATTTGATGATCACCTGCAGTTTGACTCAAGTGTTGATGATCTTCCTACAGGGACCATGAAACAAAATTGAAGGGGACTTATCATTTTAAAGGAATAGTTAACCCAAAAAATGAAAATTTGCGTACTCTCCCTCAGGCCATCCAAGACGTACATTAGTTTGTTTCTTCATGGGATCAGATTTGGAGAAATGTAGCATTACATCAATTGCTCATCAATGGATCCTCTGCAGTGAATGGGTGCCGTCAGAATGAGAGTCCAAACAGCTGATTAAAAACAACACAATAATATCCGCAAGTAATCCACGCGACTGCAGTGCATCAAGTTAATGTTTTGTGAAGTGAAAGGCTGCATGTTTGTAAGAAACAAATCAATCATTAAGACATTTTTAACCTCAAACTGTTGCTTCCGGCTAAAATGCAAGTTCTCTTTCTATATTATTGCTTTCTACAGTGAAAAAATCTGAATCAGGTGGGAAATATGCAGAGATCAAGCACCGTTTACAAGCAAAAACAGTTCTAAACAAATATGTCAATAGATTTCGGTGTGAGAGGAAGGCAAGGAATGGACTTTTTAACTTTTTCACTCATTATTATCGATTATGTAATAATTTTTTGGCCAGAAGTGACAGTTTTACGTTAAAACATCTTACTGATACATTTGTTTATTACAAACACACAGCTTTTGGCTTTACAAGAACTGACGTTGTGTGGATTATTGTAATTTTTTTATCAGGTGTTTGGACTCTCATTCTGACGGCACCCATTCACTGCAGAGGATTCATTGGTGAGCAAGTCATGTAATGCTACATTTCTCCAAATCTGTTCCCATCAAGAAACAAACTCCTCTACCTCTTGGATGGCCTGAGGGAGAGTAAATGTTTAGCAAATTTTCAATTTTATGTGAAGTATTGCTTTAACACTTTAGACATATTAACTAAATCAAGTTAATTTAATTTATTGTGACATGCAGTCACAAAAGTACTTACATGTCCTCCGTTTATTAAACCTAAAATGAAAACAAGAAATAAGTCAAAAGCTGGCGTATGTCAGACAGTGTGAGCAGCTCATGTAGGTGCAACAGCGACTGTGTGAACTGTATGTTGCGTGCCTAGGCGTTCTGTGGTTTCTCAGGTTGTTATGGATGTGTTAAATGCATGTCATTCTGAAACACTGTGAATGTTTATGTTGAGTCTGACCTTATGGGAATTAAAACACGTGAGAGACAATGCAATGCGCTTTACTGTAAGAAGCAATCTGGGTGGATTCCAGGCCACTTATAGCCGCTACACTGCACTTTAGACATGAAAATACAGTACTGTGGTTCAAAAGGAGTTTCTTGGTTTTAGACAATTACTGCTGACAAACACAGTATCATTGCAGACTTGTGTTATTTGTGTTCATTTGTAGCCTATTGTATGCTGACGCATTCAAAATATCCATTGCATATTAGTCTTTATATCATACCAGGCCATTTTAAAAAGGTTTTCTTTGCCCCGTTTTTCATCAGTATACAGAATCCAGCCATGAACAAGATTATCAACATTAAGATCAATAGCAGCAGCCAATGGGACTGGCTTTCCTCTGTCGTGTCTATGAGTGGTGCAGTGACCCCTGGTGATGACAAAAAGAAACTCAATGTCATTTTTACTCAAGTTTATTACAACAGAATGTAATTACTTTTTTTTTTCCCTGTTGGATTTTGACATTATTTAACCATTTTTTGCCTACAAATTATTGCTCATTACTATAAAGATTTTCACATTTGTTTTTTTAATTATTATTTAAATCAGCATAAATTAAAAACAGCATACTACCAAAATACAAAAAAATACAAATATTTATTTATTTTTTGGATTAAGGTAATTGTAATACTTCTACAATAGGCTTAATTTTATTTATGCAAAATGTATGTCCTTTATCGGTTTTATTTTAGTATCGATGAGATAATATTAAGAGTTTTTATTAATAATTTAAATAATTTATGTAATTTTTATATTTTCCGTTTTCATTTAAATTGAGTAATTTTGTCGTGTTTTGTCATTTTTAGTAGTTTTTTTTTTAATGCCTCTATAGTTTTTATTAATTTTTATTTCAGTTTTAATTATTTTAGAACATCAAGTTAAACTAAATTAAAATGAGAAATGGCAACTAGCTGAAATATATATATATATATACAGTGCTGTGAAAAGGTTTTTGCCCCTTCCTGTTTTTTTTTATTTTTTGCATATTTGTCACACTTAAAAGATTCAGATCATCAAACAAATTTTAATATTACACACAAAGATAGTGCCAGTAAATACAAAATGCAGTTTTTTAAAGATAATTTCATTTATTAAAGGAAAAAAGCTGTCCAAACCTGCTAACAGATGTAAACAACGTATGCTGTTCTGAGTCAGCTGCGTCACACGGCTACGCTGTTTCCGTTCAGATCAAATCACAACAACGTAGGAAACAAATCCGGCGTGACGCAGCTGACACAGAACAGCATATGCTGTTTACATCCAGCGGATATTCTCCAAAATGGCACCAGGGTGATGCGGAGGATTAGTTTCAGTTTTAGTTAACTATAATAACCCTGTTCTTTAATTTTTTTTTGGTGATATATGGGAGATTCTTTACAGGTTTCATGAGATAAATCTGGCTGCTATTTTTCTCACTTTAAGTTTCAAATACTTTATACATTGCTTTCCAAAAATGTATATTCAACACATCCCAACAGTGAATAGAGTGTCATGCGTTTATCAGTACCTGTCCAGGGGATGGAAGTGTTAGTGATAGGGAATGTAGTAATGATATTTGTGGTAGTGGACAAGGATGGCATCACTGTGGTGACATTCACACACTGTCTGTCCTGTGTTGCTGTGCCCTCTTTGAGCTTTATCATCCCCAACTTAGCACAACTGTGGAAAAGATAATGATCACAGAGATAATGCATGAGACAAGAGCAGGTCAGTCTTAATATTGTGTGTTTGTAAGGCAGCACTGGTTTGATATTCCTCAGATACTTTGGTTAGTGTTTGTTCTAAACCCTCTACTACATAATCTGCAAATAATTTGACCTTAGCTTAAACTTTCCCAGATAGAATGTTCAGAACTGAAAATAACCGTTAGAGTCATTTGCATACTAACATATGCTCTTCCTTCTGACATCTATTTGCATAGTAAATTGTGATTGGGCTTATCTTCTTTCCATATATTTAACTACTTACAGCTGCTTGTACACTTCACAGTGGTTGTGTGTTGATTCTCGTACACAGAAAAAGAAGTTGCACTGTAAACAGAAGTGGCTAGCAGAAAACTCAAAGATAAGATAAGAGAGATAAAGAAACTGAGTGATAGAGAGAAAATAAAAAATAGTGTGAAACTTGGTGGTGCTGCTGTGTGTGACCACACATGATTCTTCATCTTACTCAAAACATGCCTATTAAATGCATTTAAGTCTCCTAAAATAGTAGTTACCACAATGCCAGCTTACTGAAAGTCAAAAGAGCCAACCAAGTCTGTATGATATTCTGGCCTCTGTATGGACAATGCAAGTCTGAGGTATTTGCATTTTCCAGTAATTATATCTGGATGCAGTTTTATGGAAGCCATCACAGGATAAAATATTTTTTTAAAAAGGTAACTTTATATCTCACAATTCTCGCAATTCTGAGTTTATATCTAAAAATCGTGCCTCTTTTCTCGCAGTTCTGAGAAAAAAAGTCAAGATTTCGGTTACACTTTATTTTAAGGTGTCCTTGTTACAGTGTAATAATTATACATTTAAGTATTTAGTAATATTAATAAACTACATGTACTTACTATATGGGTACACTCTTAAAAATAAAGGTGCTTAAAAGGTTCTTCACAGCAAAGCCATAGAAGAACCATTTTGGGTTCCACAAAGAACCATTCAGTCAAAGGTTCTTTAAAGAACCATCTCTTTCTTACCTTTTTATAATCTGAAGAACCTTCTTTCATCACAAAGAACCTTTTGTGAAACAGAAAGGTTCTTTAGATGTTAAAGGTTCTTTATGGAACCATTTAGACAAAAA